CAGCACGCACGCGCGTACTTACTCCTTTGAAGTCTGAGTCGACGTCAGAGTCTTCAAGACTTTCCTCCTGCGGGACATTTCTCTTCTTCAGTAGATGTTCGTCTCGTTTGCTCTGACAAGAGAAAAAAAAATGCAATGAGGGGAGGAGATGAAAGTCTTCATTAAAGCATTGATGATTTCTTAAAGTAACAGTGCGACTAAAACCACCGCAAAAGCAAGTCCTCTATCGCTAACTTTTACTTGATGGAATCTACCTGCAGTCTAGCCCACATAGCAAACACACATTCATCTTTGAAAGGACACTGACCCTTTAACCTGCACACAGTCAATGCCCAGAGAAAAAAGTGGGACATGTGTACACAGACCCACACATCCCGTCCATAAACAGGCCCTGTGAGTCAGTGGTAGGAGGAGATCCCCTTGCCTCATGCGGATGTGCGTCACTGGTGACTAATCAGCTGGTGCAGAGCCTCTTGCTGTTCTGATCCAGCTGAATGGAATGTGCAAGACTTGTGACCACCTCAGTATTTCAGAGCAATAACGCTATAAGTATTAACTTCCCTCGCTGTGCTGGAGTCTTATTTCAGGACGCAAACATGGAACAATGTATCAGTATTTATGTACATGTTCACTGGCCTCAAGATCTCAACAATTGAAATAGGACTGTCAACAAGAGCGAGATTCTTGGATGATTTTGATGTTTGCTCTTCTCAAGTTTCTATATGAATGCACATGGCAAGTGTCAACTTGCTTTTTTAGAAATTATTTCAAGAAACTATGGTCTGGAATATAAAACGGGGCCTCTCTTCACAGATCCCGTGCGAGCCACCTAAAACAAACATTAGAGACAAAAAATAATATGAAGCTTTAATATGAAGCTTTAGTGCTGTAATCTAGGTTTGGTTTTCACACAGCAGCATTAAGACAACGCTCTTCCTAAATCCTGCCACAGCTCCTATTTGGTCCAAGTCACCACATCGCCAGACGGATGATTGCACGTCGTTTTTTTAAAAGCCAAACATGGTTGAAAAGGAGCCGCTAATATTGGCAGCAAGAGCATCAAGTCAGGACGACCCAGTGCTGTCGGCACGTTTCTTGCACACAAAGCGTGTAATAGAACGAGACCAGAACGCAGTAAACACACGGAGCTGAAATGAACAACAGAACTCACAATTATGTCACTGCTTCGATGCAGAATCGTCCGCATCACAATGCATCTTAAGAGTCGGGCACATTTCCACACCTCTAAACTAAATGCATCAGTCAGATGAACCCAAATCAAATGTGTGGGGTTATTTATTCTCAAGGGAACACCAATACTTCATTGTGCCCTTGTAGTGGATAGAAGACAGATGGATGAGCCACATCAACAGTTCTTTTGAGAAAAAAAAAATTATCCTGGGGGAGGATATTTGTTTTATAGAAATAAATCACAAAATGAATCACGAATAATACTGTTGCATTATATTGCGGCTTTCAGTGGTTAAAAGGGAAAATGTTTCCAGCAGTATCTGCTTTAACTACTTGACATAAATTCCGCTTGTGACTTCCGTAGAACCAACGGGGTTGTTGTGCGTTCTCTGCCAGGACCTGGTCTGCACTGAGCGGATTGATCACCGAGGTGAGAGAAGCTTCACCACTGTACAACTTCATGAGGGTTTTTGCACTCCCAACAACTACAGAAGTATGTGTATTCAAGCCTGCAAATAGCACGGTGCTTATTTCACATCTACTTACATTTTCAGCTAAATCATATCCTAGTGGTATCCTTCATTGTTTAGTTTGAGTTAAAAGATTATGTTCGGTAACGTGTCAAAATCTTGCCTGAACAATGACGTATTCCAAAAATGTCTGTAACGGCATTGCAAATCGGCCGTGTGCCATAAGAGCATCAATTGAGGGTTTTCAAATGTGGCGGGTCGCATATTTTCTTTCTGTTCACGCGCAGACTTCACCTCCGAACATGTCTTTTAAAAGCATGAGCCCCCTTTGTTCATGTTTTGCTCCAACAATCAACGCGGACAATAGCACGACTTCATAAAGAAAGGTGGCTCTTCTTTCCTTTCAATTTCATCACCGTGCTGGAACGAACGAACACAGCAGCCCAGCAAAAGCCTGATCATCTTCATTCAGCCATCTACTGCGTGAGTGTTGCTCAAAGCGAATACATGCAGAGTAGAATTCACAGTACCCCGTTTGAAATATTTCTACCGTTTATCAGAAAATATTCTAAACAAATGATCCATCCCGTAAAAATGTAACCAGTTCAGGGTCAAGCAATATTCCTGACAAATAGTGAGCTTTAATGGCTAACTCTCTTTTTAATGATTTTCTCACGTCCAACTCGACTGGTCTAGGATTTGAGACTTTGAATGTGTGCGTGTGCATCTTTTCTTACCTTTCTCAACTCAACTGTCACCTCATTCCGATGTCTTCTCATAGTCTGTATCAAGGAAATGAAAACAAAGAAAATATGTTTAGTTTGAGTTACCCAATAAATCATAAATGCCAATTTGACCCTTTTCTATTAGGATTACAGATTTAATTTATAGAAATATTCATTTTAGGATTTGAAACATTTTAAATAACGTTAACATGGGGCAAGAAGACGTTTTGCTCAAATTTAGAAACATCTGTGATTGAATACTACAAACAGACAATATCACCAATACAATCTAGACCTAGAAAACATAATCAGTGGTGTTTACAACTCATCCTGAACAGTTTGAGACGGTCCAAGATCTTATGATCTTGTAAAAGGTTCATGTTGCTTTCCTAAATAGCCCCTTATGCAATCTGGGACAGAACTCAGAGGGGCTGTGGAGCAGAGGTGTCTCCCCAACACCACAAAACTATAATTCAACGACAATAAAATGTCCCTTAAAACTTACAAACCGAATGCAGTGGCTTAGTTTGCCTGATGGTTGCTCTATCTAAAATATGAACTAGCCCCAAAACAAAGAATTTATGCCAATAAAGACTTAATTAGTGAAGTAAGGATTTTTTAAGGGTACAATGCTGACCCATCTAAGCCATAATTCTATTTACATCCTGGGAAGGAACGGAGCTTATGGCCTGCAGGGATGAGAGACTTCACTGCTTTGCAATTCAAAGCTGCTCCTACTGATGTCAGAAATGAAAGGCAATCTGTTACGCCTGACCTAAATAAATACAACCCAAACTTGCGGCGCTTCTCTCCTGTAGTCTGACTCATCTATTTGGGTAAACTCAAAATCACCAGGGGCTCTTCAGGGGACCCGGGTCAGACATCCAAGATTCCTGAAATAGCATCAGGAATGCACTGGGCAACAATCTGTCTATCATAGTAGCCATGTGCTTGTCCCACTCACTCAAAAGTTTCAAAACAACCACCTATGGAGCATCAACCTGTTCTTTATTAGCATTTGATGGTGAAACGGACTCCTGACAGATTATGGGGAGCATTACCTTTAAGTCTTTGTGGTAAACCATAAATAACCCACAGAAACCATTATAATTTCTAAGCTATAACCTCTACAAGTCTAGATAGGAGTTCCTCTTTGGAGGTTTTGTCTGAAGACAGCGTTTGACAAATGGGAATTGCTGTCACATATCGGACTTGGTAGCTGAATGATGCTGAAATAGCCATGGCGTTCCTGTCAGACAGGAGGTGCTTTCTAGATTACCAAGATACTTTACTGTGCAGCAAATAACACAGTGAGCTTCCATAGCAATGTCCAGTTATGGTGTAACCACTGAGAAATGTGCGGGATAACATTACAACGACAGACAGAGTTACAGTTAATACCGCTAACGCGAAGTCATCCTAGTTTCACCGATGGATTTCAAACTAACTGAATTCACGACTTTAAATGGTTTTAAGTGGGCCGTTTTGTCGTATCGAAGTAGACTGTAAAAGTAAGGTCACCGCATCAATACCGTTGAGCTAACTGGTTAGTGGCTTAGCTAGCAGCTCAGTAGCTGGCTCACCAGGCTCTACATGCTAGCTAGCTAGCTAGCTACTTTCCTGACAGCGTTAGCAAGCTAACAAGGAGGGGCAGCGTTTGGTTGGGTGGATGTAGACCAACCATGCAATTTAAGCTAAAACGATGCTTACTTAATAAAGACAAATACATGTGACGTCCCCACGTTAGCGTTGGTGTTACTAGCGCTCAGCTGGTTGTATAACACAGCTAACGTCAAGATGTGGGTGCCGGTCGGGCCCAGCCCTGCTTATGACCGGTGTCCGTCAACTAAGGTTTAGCTAGTTGAAGCTAGCTGGCAGTGACAGCTACAGCGCCTGTCCTTAAGTCGACCAATTTAAACGGTGCAACTATGATGTGACTTAGTCTTCACAAATGTTACATACTGGCTATTGGTAACCCACTGGTGTTAGCGGCCTAGCAAACATCGTAACAGTTAAATTGCGTTAACGAGGTAGACCAACGGACACTTCACTACATGGCAAAATCTTGACGTTAGCTTAATCTCCGTGCTAAGCTAACGTTAGCGGGCAGCTGCAGCCGGGGCCGGGCTCCCGAACGAGGCCCAAAGACTAACATTTTCAACGGGGAAACTACCTCGATTCATCTCATTCAGCCTCGCATTCGTGTGCCAACTCACCTCGACATCGCGTCCTTTATTTTTAAAGCTCTTGATGCGGTGGTTCTCCAAGCCGGCGTTTTCTGCCATGGCTGTATGGGGGTTAGGCTAAATTAGCTCCGGCTTTCGGGATCTCCTCCGTGAGAGACGAGGCACGGCAGCTCCTGTGCTGCTGCTCCGGGGAGGATGGGGGACGTAACAACTCGCCGAGGGAGGAGAAAAGGAGGAGTTAACGCAACCCTCCCGCATGGGCTGTTTTCCAGGGCTTCCTCCATGCAGCCGTAATAAACTCACCTTTGAGTTATTGGCCCCAATAGAGGAAACATGTCTGGAAGTTGCGCCGATCAATAGTCATTTTGCCGCATAACAGCGAAGGTGATGCGCAAACTTCTCAACAAACGAAGGACAAAACAGGGCGATGACGAAGGCATGCCTCCAGACAGAAGGGTTTAATGAATTATCAGCAATATTTGGATTTGCTTGTACAATAACATCAGTGCAAATAAAGATACGCGTTTGAAATAGTGAACTGTCACACTCGAGCAGCGGATGTGAAATGTCAATACAAGGTTGACACTTCTAACAATGTACTTCTAATCAGAGACAGACAGCAGCAGCTCGGGTAATATTTGGATATGTAGAACAAATACATTAGGGGATAGAAGAGATTGTCTTTAGTCTGAAGTAGTTTTGAATTCCAGATGATAACTATTGATGTGGATCATTTAATAAGCACCATCATCTCATCGTACTCATTTTGAATAGTCAACCTGTCTGTCCTCATAAATGTGTATTGGACTGTGGTTAGTATTTAAACCATGTCAGTGTGTATTACAACAGTGACATGAATTTAAAAAGCGTTACAATGTCCCTACTTAAATTACATTTTCCAATTAAAGAAGGCAACATAAAACCCAATGAGATATTGTGGACTGATGTGTCAGTATTGCCAGCTGATCATTATTCAGTTGACAAACCCTGGTTTGCCAAATAAATGTTTTGTCATACCAAAAAGAATAAATCACTTTGGTCTGCGATTCAAATAAATACAAATAAATATAGGCTGTATAATCAGATGTCAGTATGGCATTCGGGGGTTAATAATCAGTAAGATGTGAATCGCGCTGTCAATAAAACATGGCTTGTCGTCCTGAAAGGAAGGGGAGCGCTTTACCATTACAGCCGCTGTCTGACATCTACACACAGACCGAGAACGTAAGCAGCAATTGAAAGTGTCGCAGTAGATACATAGCGGTCACCACGGATACAAGGTAAAGGTTTGGACAGTCAAACGTCAGCATAGTCACAGCCGACCACGGATCAGAAATCCCCACTTCTTCACGGACACCCCAACGTCGATCGAGACAAATCATCAGAGGAGGAGAACCGGGGGGAAACAAAACAAAAAGGCCTTCGGGCGGCAGGTAGTGTCACAGAGGTGGCAACGAGATGTGTGGGAGGGAGACAACGTTGCAGGGCTGAGGCCGACGTGCTACTTTAGAAGATCTGTTGCTCAAAGAGGATCTTCTCAAATCCTGGTGGAGCTGTGTGATAGAAGTCACTAAACTGGCAGTCTAAGATGGCGCTGTCATCCACTGGAACAAAAGAAGGGAAAGACACAAGCACAAGCTTATACATTGTCCACATGTTCCCCTCTTAACACTGATGCAGTGAAGGAAAGAAGGAAATCCTTTGACAACATTTCAGGGAAATTACGCAAAATCAAGTAAATCAGTTTTTCTTTGAGGATAATGCAAATACAACGTTTTTTTGGTTGCACAATTACAATCAAATGCGTGTAGCTTGGTCACTTATGTGTCCATAGTCAGTGTTGTTTTTGAAGGTATGAAAGTTTACATTTCCTAGTTAAAATCATGCCTTCTATCAGCGCTCACCGGATAACGTATTGGGCACTGTTTCAGTAAACTTTAAAATCGAACTGATGACGTGGACAAGCAAACACTCCAGCATTTCGTTCTTGTTTATTATGCAAGGTTATTTGCTTTGCAGAAACCAAGCTGAAGGCCTTGTGACAGCAGCATAATCTCTCCGTATACAATGTTTGTTAAGTGACCTCCAGGCCGAACACTCTCAAAGCCAAATGGCGACTAACTGTGACCCTGTTGATGTCCAGCTGTCAACCTGGCGTGTAGTAATCTCTCTTTCCCGACCACTCATCTAAAGTCTTTCACTGACCCGGCAACTGCTGCACATACCACACATTTTTTAAACGGGTACTTTCCAGGTTTTGTAGTCTCGTATTGTTTACTCTACTCTCATTGCAGGTGATGGGAGTGTTCACTGGAGCGGTGTTGTGTCATGTACTGTATATACACACAAACACGTGTATATGTGTATACTTCCTAGAAAATAGTGAATGTGCCCTTTAAACATTACTGCACACATAGGCAAATAATTGGTTGATATTATAGAAAATATTAGCTTAAACAACTATGAGCGCCAAATAACTGTTTTTAAAATATGTACAAAGGCAGCCATCTAGTGGAAACAAATGGTAACTACATGCATTTATGCATGAAGTAGCAGTTGGGCCTGCAATGAGGTTGATACATTTTGAATAGAACAGATTGAAAAAGCCCTTGAAAAGTAACCATCATATTAGGCAATCAGATGAACTCACCATAAACGACAGGGTAAACAGTGCCTCGGATCCCTGAGGCGGGACAATGCATGTTCTTTCCATTCAGATATAAATTCAGCTCCACGTGGTCATATGTGACGCCCTGAGGAACGCAAAGAAAACTGCAATTAATCATTACATTTCGGCATGTCAATATAAAAACTCAACACATATTGTCTATTTAAAGCATCGTATTAGCCGCACAAGAGGAGGAGTAAATGTCCTGTGTACTCCCGTACAGACCATGTTAGATTAAGCTTTAATAATCCATCCATAATAATGGATAATAACCTTTAATACAATTCAGTTTTAAATTAGGTCCAGGCAATCTCTTTGTTTGAACTGTTTCATTGAAGTAACATCTACATGAACAAGCAGAAGGGTCTCAATGTTTGAGATGTAGTTTGTCAGGATTACCTTTAAAAGGTATCAAACAATATGATATGCAAAAGGGGCTCAATAAGCATCACAAATGTAGTGAAGCTGATGATGAACAGGACAGAATAGCACTAGATTTCATTCATGTACAGGATAGACATTAATAGTAGCAAAGGAAAAGCAATGAATAAACCCAAATGAGCAAGCATCACAATGTTTAGGCTGTGACTTTTTTGTCAGTTTTACCAAATGACAGATTTGACCCGATATGACTCCCTATGAAAAAACCTTGTGAGAAAAATAATTCTCTACGGAAGTTTTAAGCTGAAGTAGTAGCTTAATTTAGTGATAGCAGGACTATATTGTATGATAAAATGCTCATGCCAAGAAATACATCTTATGAGTTTAAGTTTTATGTTTAGGAAATACATCTTAGTTTGTCTGCCTGTGCGAGTGCCACATGTGCGCAAACACATGTTTCTGCACAATGTCGGGGTGGAACTTCCGTGCGTGGGGTGAACAAAAAGAAAAAAGGGAATTTTTTATCTTTCCAAGATCCAGACCGCCAAGACAAATCGAGGATCGAGTAAATAAATGTTGCTCTTACCACGATGTCCCCCTCCTGAGGAAGGCTGTTTGCAGGTAGGCGATTCTTCTCTTCATTATTGTGGTACACGGACCCATCACTCCTCAGCACCAGGCTGTTCGTGTCTCGGCCCATCGGCACTTGATTAAGATTCACTTTCTGTGTCGCCACACCTATTCCCCACACACCTGGACACAAAGCACAAGACTGACTGTCTGCTCCTTTAACAACCAAGAGTGACATCATATTCATGACAAAGACCAGGTGTAATAAAAAAAACAAGTAGACACAATTTGGGTGCGTAGCATGTTTGTGACAAAAAGCTGGTATTAACAGCATGAGGGTGGTGTGGAGCTACATAGGGGGAAGAGGGGGGGCTTTTTCCTTATGTTGTAAAAAACTGTCGTAGGTGTACAGAATTCCACCAGTTGAGCAGGCGGTCACCAGACAGTGAAGACCAGAAAGTGTCCATCTGGAAAGAAAGAAGGCAACAGAGACATGGACAAAGCTGGTGATCAGACACGCGCTTACCTGTGGACTGGATCTTAAACTCAAAATAACTTTTGTTCTGGTGCAGAGGAGCGTTGGCCAGGCAGCCTCCAGTGCCACATATCCTCCGACCGCTCTTCACTATGACAACATCTGTGCCTGCAGAACAAAAGGCATTTGGACAAACTGTAAAGACGTAATAAATTATCAGAATAATAAATCAGGGGAAAATGTCTACAATAATTCGTATTTCTGTGACGTAAACGTAGATTCAACTCATGTTTTTTCCACCAATTGCTTCAGTTCAACAGTTCTGATCTTAAATCTCAGTTTTAAGACATCACGGTTCATTTAGACCCAATTGAGGTCCACACTTCCAGGGTACATTAAATCGAGGATGAGGCTTTTCAATGAAGGAAAAGACATGTTGAGATGATCCATACGATTTTAACGACAGATATTTCCATGCTCCTACTTTATGGTTTTTAATATTGCAGTAGAGCAAACACACGTACACAAGTCTAATCAAAGAACAGCACTTCATCACAGACCACAGCAGGAACGGATAAGTGTATATACAGAAATAGGAAATGCTAATGCAGATAGCCGTCACCGTAGTCTTCAGTTTAGATAACGGAGATGACATTTGAGTCGCATGGAAACCTCGTAGGTCAGCACCACCGCATTGAGAAGGTGTTTAAACACAACGCTTCCCCGCTCGGTGCCAACAGAATCCCGTTTAGCGTCAGCTGCTGGGGTCGCAACGCCGCGAACGTTAGCGGCGCTCCGCTAGCTAGCTAATGCTAACGGCGGAAGTAGCAAACCATCACGACGCACGCGAGCAACATCTGTATTTGAACCGCAGCCGTGACGGTCGGACATAAATCCTACTCACCCATGTGATGGGTGTCCAGCTGGACAATGGGCATTTCTTTGAGGGGAATGTGCCCCGACCCGCCGTCTGCGCAGCAGCCGAGACAACACGTAAACATCGCGGCCATTCTTGCGCCTTAACGGGTAACATCCGGAAACAGTAGCGTCTCCCCGTCACACCGCCGAGAGCCCGGCGTCAAAAAACAAAAAAACCACCTCGGGGATCAAAGCGAGAGAACAGCGACGCGCGGCGACAGAGAGCAGCGCTACACGAGCCCCACTGCTGGCCGACTGTATCCAATCACAGCGGTTACGATGAGGCAGCTGCTCCTAATGGCATGGAAACAAGGGAAGGAAAGCGAGGTCAACGTTTCCACACGTGACAACGTAACTATTGGGTATCGATGTTACGTAACGCCAAGTGAGAATAGTGCGGGGTCGGGGGGGTTTAGGTGGAGAAGTGCTGAATTGGTGGTACCCATTACAAACCGAGGAGCATCCCCAGAGGCTGAAACATGATATAATGTTGCTGATATGTGGTGTAGTTCGTATTCTTCTGCCAGGATACTGTGTCAACTAGTTGCGCCATTTGGCGTTTGCTTTGACGCGTCTTTCACTTGCACCTTTCATTTTTTCCCCCCTTAGTTAAATGTTTATAGATGCATATATCGACATACACACACACACTACCCACACACACGTGACTGAAGATGTCGAAACTCGTGATGCCAAACTAAAGTAAACCTAGTTGACAGCGTTTCACGCTGTAATGTTTTGCATAGCAACAGCCCCTCCCCCCTCAGCCTGCCAGGGACCGTCTGCAAGTTACCCAACAGGGACACCAACGCAAACAACCCAAATTACCTTAATTAAGCACCAAAAATTAACAATAAACAATTTCCCTACAGTATTTTTCCGAGTAAAACACAGAACGCGCTGCGTTCAACGTTTGCGCATTTATAGCCGAATCCGCGTGATTTGATTTTTCTGTGCGCCACCGAAGCGGTTAACTCCAACCCGAAAATGGGCGAAGTCTGCACAGCAACAAGCGCCATTATTACGTTGCGCCGTGCGTCTCAGCAGCTGGTGAGTGCTTCTTTTGGTCCAGTAGTCTTATGTTACTATGCGCTGGCGAAATCTGTCACGGCTCCACTTCAGTAGCTTGCCAACAGGAGAAACGCGAACCCGCGAAACCTCTCCGACGCTAATTCGTCGCATCGGATTGGCGTGACGGCGGTAATTTAGGGCTCATCTCAGGGAAACCTCCGCCTTGCTAATGCGTTATGTAAAGCTAGTTGCGAAATAGTTTGATGTTGGAGGCTGTAATTTATACGATCGTTTCCACTTAATCTCTTCGGGTCGCTTCTTCTTTCAACGCCCGCCGGGGTAGATGAAGACATCGCAAAAGCACGATGTTATTTAACGTTAGAAGGCCAAACGGGGTCTTTGAGATGACCCGAGGCGACCTTTTACGGGGACAGTTTCACTTTCGGGATGGGAATACTCCACACCCAGCTGGAACATGACTGCCGAACCTGTATCCTTTTGCCATTCTACAGCAATGTCGTGCGTAATGGGTTGCCCGTGCTGCCCGATTGGGCTCTATCCATCAGTGGGGGTGCGTAGCCTAGTTATACTAAAGTGCTGATTAATTGGCTTTTCTTTAGTATAACGCATCGGTGATTTGACGCCTGCATACTGTGTTTACAGGGGTGACCATGGAGGAGCTGGAAGAGGAACTGACGTGCCCAATCTGCTGCGGTCTCTTCGACGACCCGCGGGTTTTGCTGTGCTCGCACAGCTTTTGCAAGTCGTGCCTGGAGGGGCTGTTGGAAGGGAGCCGAGGTCCGGCTTTCAGAACACCCTTCAAATGCCCCACTTGCCGCAAAGAGACGCCCCACAACGGCGCAAACAGCCTGCAGATAAACTATTCTCTGCGGGGAATAGTGGAAAAATACGGCAAAATACGAGTGATGCCTAAAATGTCTGAATGTAAACAACACTGCGGTCAGCCACTCAACATATTTTGCGCTACGGACTTAAATCTCATTTGTGGGTTTTGCGCAACGACAGATGACCACCGAGGACACACATACTGCTCATTGGAGGAGGCGTACCAGCGAGAGAGGGAGGCGTTTGAAGTGCTGCTTCGCGGGTGAAGAGCTGGCAGAGCGCAGACGTCCTGTCCTGCCTGGAGACACTGCAAGCCAGAAAGAAAAAGGCGCTTATGTCCGTGACCAAGGACGCAGAAAAGGTGTTAGAATATTTCGACAAACTCATCAGTACCATCGAATGCAAGAAAAACGAAATCCTCTCCGACTTTGAAACCCTGAAGCTGGTGGTGTTGCAAGAATACGACCCGGAGATCACCAGGCTGCGCGCAGCGATCGAGGAGCACGGGCGTGCGCTCGGCATCGCGGATTCTTTCGGGGGCGTCTCCGACCCCCTGTGCTTCCTGCAGCAGATGCAGGAGTTTCGGGCCAAGCTGAAGGTTCTTAAGGAGACCCCGTTGCCCTCTCGGAAAGACGCCCATGTCGGCCCCCTTGTGCGCAATTTCGATGTGAAAAAGTGGGATTCTCTGAGGCTCGGCGAAGTGGACAAGATCTCGGTGCCGCACGAGAACGGCTCCTACCGAACCGGGGGCTCCCGGGTGACGGTGCCACGGTGGATCGCCCTGAACACGGTTCTGTTACTGTCGACTCTGCTCCTGCTGCAGCCGCACAAACTCGCAGCTTACGTGCCCTCGCAGATTGAACCATTGCTTAGTGCCGTTTCCTCGCACGTGACCCACACCGGCGTGTACCTGCGGGAGTTGACTGGCATGTACACAAGTCTGATCGGTGCAGGTCAGGAATGTATCGGGAACTTGATCAAATCTGCTGTCAGTTTTTTCTTTAATGATGATGATTTATTTTAAGCCCATTCAACGATAGGGACAGACATGCGCATAGTTCCACAACTCACTTATGCTTGTCTTCATTTTGTTTGACCAAGCCTCAACCTCCAACGAAGCCATAGAATCAAATCTTACTATGCAAAAGTTGTAGCGTCTCTTTATATCAGATAGAATTCATCGATCTCTTTGTTTAAGTACACGGCCATGGTGATCTTGATAAAATAAAACAGATTTGAGTCACATCCGTGTTATTTATTCACGTTTCTTAACAAGATGCAAAATCAAATGCACATTTAGAGACACAATCTAGGCTCTTGAATTAAGCAAGTGTGTGAAATGCCAAACGACACATACGGAGTGGTCCCCGCCACAGGGATGCTGCAACCTCCTCAAGGTTACAAAGGTTGCATAACAGGGCCCGTGTGAAATATTCACCTGGCTGCAGCGGCGGAGGGAATCAAACGAACACGGTCCTATGCTTGTCATGTTTTCACCAAAACCCGATCTGCTGACTGCTCCTTTTCCTCCTTATCGTTGATAACAAAACTGAGGCAACGGTGCACGATAGTGACGTGTGCTTGGCATTCAGTCGATTTCCACACCAGAGCTATTCGGGGAGGTAAATGTGAGTCATTCGTTGCATGACTTGTCAATTCTATAAAGGCAAGACATCTGCAGCCCGTTGGGTAAAATACACAGTGCTATTTTCTGCTATCCATTTGAGGTCATTACTTGCAAGCCGCAAATCAAAAATAAATGTTGTGGGCGAATGGAATAGAGTTTTTAAACATTTTAAATACAGGATAGCTCAGTGAGATTTTTTGGCATATCCCCAAAAATTATTTTTATTTTCAAAAAAATAGGTCAGAGAAAAATGACATAGTGAATTGTGCATTGAGCTTATATTTGTGTATTAATGTATTCATTCTCCCGAGTATGGTTGTATTTTGAAAATAATTAAATCCTATATCAGACCACAAAGTGAATCCGTGATGTCAGCACTGACCATAATTCAGGATGTACGTCATGGCACGCATACATATATATAGCCCTCTGTTGCCAGGCAAATATAGGGTGAAAATAAATATACCACTCTACATTAATATTTTAATTTCCACTGCACGCAAAAACCTTAAAAAGGTCAACTCACTCTAAATAAAAAAATAATATCGTGAATAACATGCATAAATAACACTCATAGGATACAATTAATGAGAGGAGAGCCAGGTTGCGCTGTCGGACTCTGAGGTTTAATAAAACAATGAAAAGCTTCAAGTGCCCATGCATGCATTGAACTACTTCAATAAATGTCCAGATATTTATTGAATAGCCGTGTGTACGTGCAGCACATCGCCGGATAATGTTCCGCACTCTTACACCATTTCACGTTGACTAAAGAAGATCGTTTTGTTACTGTGATCAAATATTTTCAATGTTATTTCCTTTTGCTATATCAATTTTACAATTTTCACGTTTTCTGAAAAATGTTCAGCCAAAGTACAAGAGAAAGTAAGAGGCATGCGTTTTTTTTTAAATTATAAGTTAAATGTAGTTAACGTAGCCACGACCAATATAAAAAAGGTAAATGTTTAAAAAAAGTGTCGAAAGTAAAAACAAAATGTGAAGCATAATCGAAGTGGGACAAACTGGAATTTCATTCCGTGCATCAGGATCGAGACCGCTTCAACACTCTGATGTGCCGTTTCACTAAATACTCTGGTCACACATCGCTTTAAGTAACTGCACGTAGAAAGAGAAATACCTTACTACAATATACATATAATTTATATTAAAGTTGGTAATAAATTACGCAGAGGTGGTTAATATTTACAAACACAGAAAATGGTTCGCATTACAGCATTGTATGGAAATTATATATAATATAAAGGCTCATCTTTTTACATAATATACGCATATATAACGATGTTTCATATTTATCCATTTGAAAAAGGAAAGCTTTTCTTTTTAGAAGAAAAAAAATACACGCAAAAAACGGACCGTTTCCTCCCATTGATAATTTCACATAAATTCACCGTTGTTAACATATCCTTCCTGCAGACATATCCATAACTGCAGATTATTTAGAATTATAGTTGCGAGAACAAATTTAAAACCATTAAGACAGGCCTGCAAGGCCAAATGTCCACATAAATGCCGCAACATGCGTTTATGGACAGTGGCGGCACACACACGCACATGGTCCTGGAATTTAGATGTTGAGAGAAAATCTGAAAAATAATGAATGTCATCAATAAATGTATCCACTGTATATTTATTCCATGTTGGCATTAAAGGAAAGTGGTCCGAGCGACTTGTAAACACGTGGGACGCTCAGGCCGGTTCTTCTCTGCGGTTATACGATTGAGGGATTTTATTCAGCACACATGTTCACCGTACATATGTGCTCTAACTTTTTATACAACAACCAGCGTTATCTACGGCTCACATTTTAAATGAAAGGCCTGGAAAACAGAAAAACAATTCAGCCATTTATATTTAGGTAAATCCGATTTGAGATTATCGTGACCGGGTGTCGTGCTACACTATTGCGTGCGCATCCGACACCACTTAAAATGGAGGATTTTGGCCGTGTTACGGACTACATTTGGGTCACCGCATCATTTGAAAATATCACGTCTCTGCATAACGCAGTCAAACAATAAACGGGAGTCGTAGTGAGCATTTGGTTCATATCGACCGAAAACGCGCAATCGCGGACTGTATGTCCTTAAAATATTTTCCGAAGCAAATCTCAATTTAAACACACTCTACTCATCGATGCATTAACTACGGTGTGATTTAATGCTTCTAATCTGCAGCAGCGGTTAGCGCACCGAAGCACGCGGGCCATTTTCTTCTTCGTGGACGGCGGACTAGTCAAGATGTGACGGATCTCCTAAATCAGCACCACGTTTAGTGCAGACCTCATGATCAAAACACATTACAGACAAAGGTCCATTCAGAATTTTATTTTTCTCCAAGTGTGCATACAGAACAGTGACATCTAAACCGTCCGCGTACATTATTTAACAACTAAAAGCAAAGATGTGTTAGCGGTTCACTTAGAAGCTGTGTGTAAACAAAGTACCTGGAAGCATCTCTAGAGCAAACGCAGCCCGTCACCGTTCTGCCCAACCGGCGGCGACGTGTGCGTTCCCCCGCGGCTGGTCAGTGGAGCTCGTTGTGAGTGGTCAGCTTTGCTTCAGCAGCACGATCAATATTGGAGGCTTCAGCAAGTCTTAACTCCAATATTTACGTGCTGCTACAGTAAGGAGACCCGCAAATGAGAGAAGTCGCTCCAAACGTCGCTTCTGTCGCCAGACGAGAAGATCTGCCCGTGTGGTCGTACTCAGGCGGTGGACACCCTGTCCAGTCCGCCCCAGCAGGGTTGAGGGGGCCGCCAGGCGCCGACCCGGGTCGTGTGTTCGGGCTTTACTGTGGCAGCACAGCATGGCCTGCATCTCAGTGTAACCCACAAACCATTCCGTGCTGCTACAGCATCACCAGAGCTGTCCTCATCCGCGCCATTGGTCTTCATTCTTTTGGGCCTCTAGTCCAAACAGTTGATGGATACCGACTTGTTACCTAGCATTCTTCCGGCTAAAAAGACACTCAGATGATCATCGGCCTTTTAAAAAGAGTTACATTTACTGTCCAATCCGAAAAGAGGCGGCGAGGTCCACCACCTGAAACACAGAGGGAGACATTGCAGTTGAATGCGAGCAGGACAGACGTTTAGAATTGCAGCACTATCCTAACGCATGTAGACTTGTTGAGGTAAACACAATATGGAATTCCTGTGCTAACCCGACAGCCTCCAATCCTGCAGAGAAAACTGTCCATAGTATTTTAGAAACCTGGAGATTTGCAAACATTTAGCCAAAATGTGAGGATGGGCGATGTTGGTCAATACGGCCAAACACCAATCCCAAAACCATTTGATGAGATGGAGATCAGAGGCCCCCCCCCCCCCCGACTGGAAAGATAAACACTGGCCCTTTCTTAATGCACAAGGGCACCGTCATGCTGACAAACAAAAGGGCCTAAAACGCCAGTGTGTGCTGTGACATCAGGATCCCCCTCATTGGAACCAAGCAGGGGTATTAGTGTGTACTTTAAATATGGTGGGATTTATATGACCCGTAGCAAAACACTCATTATCATAAAGACGGCTGCATGTCAAAGGGAATCTCATCCAGTGGTTGAACACTTTTGGGTTACAAGCTAATCGTTGCTTTGCCGTATTCTGCTAACTGTGCAAAAAATAGAAATTACATTACTTTACTTCCTACAAAACTTTTTTACAACTGAGAAACAGGCATCTGGTATTCAAAATGTACGTGGACCCTTTTTAAACAAAGCAAATCAGAAGATGACACAATTGACCAGTTGATCTGTCATTTGGCAAATAACTGAAGCCCTATCAGCATCACACATGTTGAATAGGTGATCAGACAGATTCGACCCTGTGGAGTTATCAATGAAGTAACCCAAACATATCAACTTTAATAGGAAGAGGTTTCCGCCTGTGTATGTAAACATTTAAATCCAAGAACTAAATCTCTGAAGACATAATTTGCATACAAAGGCGCTAAAACACACCTGATTATAATCCTGAAGCAGATTGGTTCCAAACATCTTGCCACACATATTGCCACTAGAGGTCTCAATGGACCTGCAAGATTGACCTTCGTTTAAATCAGACAAGATCTGAATCTAATAACATCTCAAACATACATCCCCAAAAAATCTAAAAGAGTCACTGAAAAAACATCACAGACTTTACTTTCACACAGTAAAGTAAAGAAGTTGACTGAAAAAATATATACATGCAAAATAAAATGATAAAACAATGAATTTGGTGGTTTCTTGCAAAAAAATTAATAAAACCAAAATGGCATAATGCAACAAAAAAATCTGAAAAAAAGATGCATTTATTGTGATAGAATGCTCATTTCAAGCAATCTGCTCAGAACTAAATGTAATGTGTGGCAAAAGCTTCATCATCAATAGGACTTGCTTCCTATTTAGACTATTTATTCTGATGAATATGCGGCAATATATAAGGGCTTTCCCCCTGTGAAAGCTTGTGAAGATCCACAAGGCATATTTTATTAGTAATACTTTAGTAATACTTTTGATGTAGGATTTGACTCATCTCTCTATGTAAAAGGTGTAACTTGTGGTGATCCAGATGAATAACTAGTTCTTGATATTTATATAACACAAGTGAAACAATGTC